CCTCCTCCGCGAATAAGTACCGGTAAGTAAACAAACAAACAAACTTTACCAATCACTTCCCCTCCCCCCACACCTTTTTTTTTTTTTCGTTCTTTATCGCTCTCCCCTCTCTCCTCATTAAGAGCCGCTCTCGGAACAAAAATAAAGGAATAGACGCTCAAAAGGCAGCAGGCAGGCAATCCTCACTTCATCAGCCCCCTCGCCCCCAGCCACTCCCCCAGTAAATCAGGTTTATCTTCACACAGCCATCCATCTGTCTGTCTATCTATCCATTCATTCATTCATTCATTCATTCATTCATTCATTCATTCATTCATTCATTCATCATTACCTACTCTGTTACCATTGCAATCTTATTTTTTTGTGCGCCAGAGAGCGTAAAAAGGTGGGGACGAGAAGAAGAGAAAAATCAATGGGTATCCACCAGCTCAACTCCAGATCCCATACGTCCGACCCCAGCCAGCCAGCCCAATCAATCATCAGTTTTTTGAACGCCCCGTTTGTCCCGTGCTGTTATTTTTTTTGGTGTCGCAAGAAACGACCTGACCGACCCCAACCTTCCAGACAGAGAGGTAGACAGAAAAGCAGCATCTCACTCGGTGCCGGACTTCTCCCTCTCAGCCTCCTCCATCAACTCCCTCTCAAGGTGTGCATACTTCCCTGCCTTTCGTACCCGCGGCAACACCACACCTCTCCTCATCTCACCCCAAAGCTCACCTGCGATACCAGGATATCGGGGTGCTGGACCAGCATTGAGCCTCGCAATCATCGCCGCCGCCTGTTGCCGGGCCTGTTGCTGGGCCTGTTGCTGGGCCGCAATCATCGCCGCATATTGCTGAGCCTGTTGCTGGGCCCGTTGCTCGGCCTGTTGCTGGGCATGTTGCCGAGCGCGATCCAGGGCACGAGCGACGGCATCTATCTGCAAGCCATGATTCACGCCATCTTTTCTGTGGTGTCCTCTGAGAGGAGCGCCAAAAGAGCGATGAGCGATGTCTCCGATTCTTTGTCTCTGCTGCGCATTTGGGCCCTCTACTGCTCCCCTCTCGGGTGCTGGTCCAGGCATGGGCTGTGCAGGAGGAAGGTCTCGGCGCACGGCCATGAACAAGCGAGCCGGGAGAGCCAAGTCCCTCTCGAGGTTTTCGAGGGGGCTTCTTAGCTGCTCAGCTCTGGCTGCTGTTTTTTTGTTTCGTTTTTCTGCTTCGAGGGCGTTGCGCAACTCAAGCTCCAATTCCTCAATGTTCTTGACATGAGCATTACCTCCGTCCGCTCCGATGATGGGCAATCTTCCCTCCCGCCCTACAGCTTTTTCTCGTTGTATTCCACCCGCACCTGCTTCGACATCATCTCTCCGTTGCGCCGCGTCTATCTCAGCGCCTAAGCCAAGCCCAATTCGATGTCTGGCTCTAGCGGCAGCCGCCTGGTCCTGTTTCCGCGCGATATCCACCAAGTTTCCCTCCAGAGCTCGCTGGCGAATCCGAGCGTGGAATGCCTGTCGCAAAGCCGCTGCACGACCATACATGCCTGCGGGTTGGAGAGGTTGAGCGTGAATGTGATTAAATTGGGTTTGATTACCATTCGCTACCGCTTGACGTCCATGATTGCGTTCACCCCGCCCGACAATCCGCTCATCAGGAGGAGCCTCGGCCGAGCCAACCACTGATACATCTTCTGGTGCGGCTTGTCGCCCTTTGAGTATCTGAACGGCTGGTCGACCCAACGGTCCTTCCATAAGAGCAACTTGAAGCTCAGGACCCATATTCTGCATGATGCCTCGCTCCCCATCATCATGATATCTGGCCATCCGTTGTTGGCGGTATACTTCGCGGCCGGCCGGTTCCCAACCTTGCAAGAAACCTAGCTCGCGTGAGTGATCCTGATTTGGTGCCAGTTGCTCCCCAACTGCGACTTCCGGTGCGTTTGCCGGTCTGAGAAGTCGCTCTTGAGGTGCTGGAGGCACCGGTCCATCCAAGGGACCACCGCCCCGTGATCTGATCATCGCTTGTAAGTACCTTACACGTGCTGCTGCTTCAAAATCACGTTTTTTGCGCATTGCTGCATTATCAAATCGCTCCTGAGCCGCAGCTTGTGGCACGGCTAGCTCAGCACGTCGGGCATGGATTCGATTCATTTGCTCACGGAGGAGAGCAAGATCAACTGGTGCAAGTTCGACTTGTCTTAGAATATCATCCCCGCGGACCTGCGCTGCTATTCGCGGGGGTGGTGCTCTAAATTGCGGCGCAAAGACACGAGCACGGATTTGTGGTAGGAGGCCAGGAAACGCGATGCCCTCGGCCTGGTCAAGGTCCATTTCGTCGCCGGAGTCGTCATCATTCCTGAAGTCTACGTAATGAACGTATGGTTGATAGTTAGCCTGCGAACTGTAAAGAGGGTGGGACAGACAATTGTGAGCAGTAAGCTTTGTTTGGTCTGGGACGCTGGACATTGAAGATTTAAATTTTTATCCCAACAGATGACCTTCTGCAGGCACTTACCATCTCGAAGAGGGTGCTGGGGAACAAGGGGCAGAGAGTTGTGGTCTGGGGGAAAGGGAGAGGCTCGAAGGCCTTGTGCTGATTAGGACATCCGCAAAGTGACAACCGGGCTATGACAGGGAACGAAGCATGACCAGAATAGATAGACCACTTGAGTGATTCCAATTGTTCGGCTATCAATAAACGAGGATATACAGGCCGTACGCGGCGGAGTTTCTCTTAAAGAAAAAAAGAAAGAAGAAGAAAGGAGAGAAAGGTCTACTGACCAGGACGTCCTGCGCGAGCCTGCATGACCTCAATGTGACGTAATACTGGATCTACTCTCTCTTTTCGCTTCTCCTCGGCTTTGCGGACATTCTCGGACACCTTGACCTTGAGGTCGTCCTCAGTATATTCCGGGTGATCGGCCACTCCATCAAAGTTAGTCCTGGGCTTGCAGATTCTCGCTATTTGTGACGGTCTCGGGCTCTCTGCTCTTGGGACTTGCATTTCGGAGCCGAACGAGCAAGGTGGGGGGACTTTATCTTACAGATTTTTGCCAATGTATCCTTTTCTGCCTTCTGGACTTCCTCGTTGTGTCGCTTTTCAGCGCTCTCGAAGAGGGGACAGTTACCTAACTTGCCACCTCGGCTGGGGTCGTTGAAATGATTGTAGTCGCAAGATTTCGAGCAGACATAACACTGTATGTTGCGGCACCCGTTGCGGGTGCAGGACATCTTGTTACATCCTTCTTCTTTGACGAAGGGCGTGCCGCATTTGTTGCATTTCCGGATCATGGCAGCAGACATCGCCTCTTCGATTTGGCGTCGAATTGATAGACCGTTCTCCTTGGCATTTTCCTCGCAGGTCTTGGGGATGTGAGAATCAAGCTTGCAGAGGCGGCAGCTGACTCTTTCGCACTCTGAATCTTGGCATCTAAATTCGCGGTTGACTTCAACAGGCGGATATTCGGCGGCAAATGGACAGAACGGACAGCTTGCAAGATTCTCGATACCCGCTAGGCGTAGATTTGCTTCTTGCTCATTTCGTTCCAAAGCTACTTTCGTGTTGTCGTCCAGAAATTGCGCCCTGTGAAAGTCAGTGAAGAAGTGCCACGAAGACACGGGAAGACATACCTCTGGTCGGAAGAGAAGCCACCGCTGCATTTATCTGTTGACATGCAAAGTAGCTCGTACTTAGATTTCCCCACCTCGACCTCTGCATTCCGCTTTGCGCACCCTCGGCAGAACCAATGCATTTCATCGCCATTGCAGTGGACCATGCGATTCATAGGGTAGTCACAATAGCAACAGCCGCATTCAGACATGGTGCCATCGGCTTCTGCTCTCGCCACATTTTCTGCTTCCTCGGCCTCGGCAGCACGCTCTGCTGCTCTTCGCTGATCTGCCTTGTCTCTGATCCTTCTTGCAGCTTGCAGTTCCTCGTAAATCTCGACCTTCTCCTGATCTACGACACCGTTTAGTCCCGCAGGCGAAGCGAGATACGCTGCTGTCTTGGCAGGCGAGTAGTCGTCGCCTCTTCTCGCGTTCTTCAGCATCACATACGGTGGATCTTGGTCCTTGTTGTACGTTCTCTGGGCCTCTTCAAGAATTTCGTATGCTGAAAACAATCGATATTTGGTCTGGCTACAGGTGCTAGCAATGAAAGAGATTGGTGTACGGGTAAATTCCAGTGACAAGATCTTGGCACTAGAAGATGTCAGTGCTGTCTGTAGTACACGGAAGACTCGATTAATAGTGTCTACTCTATCGGGCATTTGCTTAAGACTTCTGGCAAGCCATCGACTTCGTTTGAAAAAAGACTTACATGAAAGGACGGACTCCACCAATAGCAGCAGACATCTCCCGCTCGGGAGCTCCATACTTGCGAGCAGCCTCCTGGTCTTCATCAACCTCTCTCTTCCTCTTCAGCACCTTTTGCTTGTCTTTGGCATTAGGGTACGGGGTTCCTTTGTCGATCTTGTCAAGGATGTGTGTGATTAATACTTGTGAAGACTTGGATATGGTGTCATAGAGTTCCGATACATAGTCTCTGCAGATATCCGGGAACATATCGACCAGTGTGTCAATACAGGTCACCCGCGACGCTGCTTCCGTTGGTACGTTTTGTTGGGCGCTTAACATAGAGGCAGGAACAGCGGGGGCTGAATCTGGTGAAGCTGGAGCCTGCTGTGGAGGCAGGGGGTGCATGGCGAGATCGCCTTCGAAGTCGAAGGCTCCAGCGACGACTTCGTCATTGAATTCTTGGACCAGGAAGTAGTCTTCCCATACGGCTTGACGGTTCGCGAGCTCAGGTCGGCGTTGGAGTGGTGGTAGCACCGGCTGATGGATCGGGGGTAGAACTGATGGGGGAAGATTTTCCACCTCCGCAGCTGGTTCGGGCAATTTTCTGTTCATGGCGTCCGGTCTCTCATTCTTGAACGGAGATTCTAGGGAGTCGGCAAAAACGTCCTCACCTTCCTCGCTATCGGAGGTGAGATCAATAACACTCCCCGCTGGGGGGCGGACAGGGCCGCCGTTGTCAAACGCCACTTGGGAGATTGCGTTCATAGCGGGCGATAAAATGCGAACTGCAGGTCTATCTCGCGGTGGCCGTTGCCGTAGGTGATTCGGTGAAAGGCTCTCCAAGTGATAGTTCCCACATGGGATCTCCGAAGCGCGGTCGATGAATATTGTTTTGTATGTGGCCAGGAGCTCTCAAAGTATCTACTGGAGAGTATTGCGCAGATGGAGTCTGGCTGCTTTGGCGGGCTTCGTCGAGTCGGGGTTCACTTCAGCCTCCTTCAAGTGCGTAAAGAAAGTGCTTATCGGTCGGTCGGATGGGACTTGGGATGTGTAACGAGGGTGAGTGTGTGATGGGATAGAGGGAGAATTGGTGTTGTTGGCCAGCTGTATGATGATAGCACGTGTTAGATACATCCATTCCAATCAATACTAGGCCGGCAGACGGCTGGAAGAAGAGAAGTAGCGCTCAACTCGAATGAACAGGAGCGGATGTGACGGTTCCAGTTCCGACAGGAAGGAAGTGGAAAGAAAAGCAGGCGCGACGTTGTGTTCACGAGGTTTCCGCCATCGAGATTCCCGGAAGAATGATGGTGGACATGTTCGTAGCCGTGGTGGTGCAGGTAGAGGTGGTGAAGGTGGTGAAGGTGGTGAAGGTGGTGAAGGTGAAGGTGGTGGTATTGGCGAGGGAGAAGTAGAATGGTCTACGTCAAGTCGGTGGTGAATGCTCTCATGCCTCATGCCCTGATGCCCTCATGCAACATGTGAATCGGAGGGGAGCTTCGTGGAGGGGAAGGAGGGGATGGAGGGGAAGGAGGGGATGGAGTGGAATGGAGCTTTACTTATCGGTCTTATCGTAGCGCTGTCACGTGGCCAGGCCCTGATTACCGGTACCTATCCATCTGACTGTTTTTCGTGCATCTGGAAAAGAGAGAATATCCCCCATCCCCCTTGAGTAGGCAAGGGAGGGAGGTACTCTTCCACATGAAAAGGATCAATCATTATTCCGTATATACCGGTACGTAGTATTTCTAATTTCAATATCCATTTCCATCCTTGGTACCCGCACCCGCACCCGCACCCGCATCTGCATCTGCATCTGCACCTGCATCTTGTATCTGCAGGGCAACTCCCTGCAACCCCGATTCGGAATCCGGATGATCCACCTGCCCGCAACTTCCAACCCAACCCTCCTCGTTCGTCATCTCCTGCCGTTAATGGTCAACACAGCGCGTCAAGTGTGCGCGCCCTTCCCATTCAGTACGCGAATGAAACTTCTCACGGGGGATCCCATAGAAGCCATAGGGCGAAGGTAAGGAAGGGCACGGAAGTATATACTCAGGCCCGTGGCCACCTTCGGCTGCTCTTTCATGTCACAGTCCCCCTCCTCTCTCCTGCCATCGTCTTTCATGTCCATATCTCCCTATCCCCATCCCCATCTCCATACCCATATTCATCTCCATACCCATATTCATATTCATACCCATACCCATACCCATACCTACGCCTCCCCTACTTGATCCTCGGGGCCTCTTGGGCGGCTTCCACTGATAACTTTCATTGTTGGGAACACTCGCCCTTCCTCTTTGTTCGAGCTTGTCGTGTGTGTCTTCCCAGCAACATACAGACAAACAGGCAGGCAGGCAGGCAGGCAGGCTCAACTCAAAGGCAAGCGCTCTCGAAGGAACTCGAAATCGAAAGTCGGAGCGACACAAAAGACGAAAACAATGGGAGAATACACCCCCGACAATGGCTCGATCGAGTTCCCAGACTCCAAGTCTCCCTCCCTCTACCTCACGAACCCTACTCCCGAAGAGCGGCTGGTGACATGGAACCTCAACTCCGTGAACTGGGGAACCGCTCTGCCCCTCCCAGATTACATCGAGCGCGAACGATACCTGATGACGGTCCCTCTGGCGAAAGATGGCGGCATCACCCACTGGGTCCTGGTCGAACGCGGGCTCCCCCCGAACGAGCGCCCTATCCTTGCCAGCTGCGAATCTCTGCGGAAACCAGTACTGGTCGCCAAGGACGGAATCATAAAAGAGAACATCACACATGGAATCGGCAGTGTGTTCAGCAACCCGCAGTTCAGAGGAAGAGGCTACGCAAGCCGCATGCTGAAGGAACTGGCTCCTATCTTAAAGACGTGGCAGGTCGAGTCGACGGACCACGTCCCGTTCAGTATCCTCTACTCAGATATCGGCACGAAATACTATGCAAAGCTCGGATGGGCTACGTATCCCAGCACGCATTTCTCGTTCCCGCCAGCTGCTTCCACTCGGTCGACAGGTGTAACACCGCTCACATACCCAGACCTCCCTGCGCTCTGTGCCAAAGACGAGGAGTTTCTACGGGAAGAGCTGGCAACCTCGGCAAAGGACGGCAAGACCCACGTATCTCTGATCCCGAACTATGAGTGTATGCAGTGGCACCACATGCGCGAGGACTTCGTCACGGGCAAGATCTTCGGGAAGTCGCCTACTATCAAAGGAGCTGTTTCTGGCGAGCCGGGATCACGGGTCTGGGCTATCTGGACCCGGGTATTCTACGGTCCTCTCGTTCCCACGTCGGGGAACAAACTTCATATACTGAGGCTGGTAGTCGAGGATGATCGAGATACGGAAGCCAACGCCCACCAACTGAAGGGTATCTTGGCTTTTGCGCAAGCCGAGGCGCAAGAGTGGCAACTACCCGAGGTGGATGTGTGGAACCCGAGCGACACGTTGAAGGCTCTGGTCAAGCGGACCGGGCTGCAATCGACGTTTGTTGTTCGCGATGAGGAAAGTATTGCAAGTCTGATGTGGTACGGCGAGGGCTCGGTTGAGGAGATCAACTGGGTTGCGAACGAGAAGTTTGGGTGGTGTTGATAAGCGACTGGGCGGCCACTTGCAATGTCGAATTTAGAAGCGGTTCTCATACTAGCTGAGATGGCAAGATTTTTCAAAGAAAAAAAACTTAATATATATATATATATCTATCTCTCTCTTTTGGTTTTTGAAAACCTCCCAATTCCTACTGCTACGGCTCTTCACCTGTCCATCAGAACTTCACGGCAGCATGCCGACTCTGACCAGTTCAGCGACGCTCGGTCTGGCCAAAAGTGGTCTTGCCTCCCCCCACCCCCTGCCCCCATGTGCCCAATCGACAGTAATTGCAAGGCGGCCCGCCATATTCACCTGATTTCGCTATAGTAAAAGTATGCGCACTAGTGGCCCACCTCGCAATCAGTCACCTTGAGCTGAGCTGAGTGAGTTAGTTGCCCGCCCACTCGCTCGCTTACATAGTCACTACCTATACACAAAAGCCCTCCTCCCTCCACTCCATCCCCCCCCCCCCCTCCTCTCAGAAACACTGCCTCAGAGCTTAATCCACACCGAGCAAACTCCGCCGCCCACACACAAACGAAAGCAAAACCCACCCCCTTCCAATCTCTCTCTCTCTCTCTCTTACCCCACCACTTCAACTCCGCTTGCGAAACTTGGAGGTTCGCAATGGGACACGTCTACGCACCGCTGGCTTCGTAAGGCTAAGCAAGGCCAAGTGTTAGCACTGAGACCGGCTGGTAGCTAATAAGGCCAAGTGAGAATAGCGGTTAGCTTGGTTGGCTACAGCCAGCTGAGTTGACTCAGTCCAGGGAGTCCAGGGATTCAAGTGCGTCTGTTACCTTCCGTTTATATGGGTAGCTATAAGTAGCTGCCACTTTACATAGGTAGTTAGAAGGCATGCGCAACCAGTTGGATCTATCTACTTGAAGCAGCGGATGCGTGGTTACCTTTGCGTTATACCTGTGATGCCAACGCTAAGGCTTGCTTGCAAGAGGGTAGGGGCGTTGGGTTTGGGGGATTATTAGGTTGGGGTTGGGGTATGTTGGGGCTGGACTATGGGTGTGTGTGTGTGTGTGTGTGTTGAGATTGTGGCTGGGGTGTTGTTGTGCTTGGTTGGGGGTTTTTTGGGGGGGGGGGGGGGGGGTTGGTTTGGGGGGTGGATCGAGGATGGAGGCAAGGAAGGAAATAATTTAGTGGGTGAAGCTCAAGCTCTACGGAGAAGGGGGAGAAGGGGAGAAGGGGAGACAGTGGAGGAAGGGGGCTGGTAAGATAGCTTGCCAAGGTAGTAGTAGGTACTTGCAACTACAGTAGAGTACAAAGTACTACTACTTACAGGACCAGTACTACCGTTACCGTGCTGTACTACTATAGGTAGTACCTATGTAGGTATGTACCTTAGGTACTCCAGTCTCCTCTACATACAACCAAACCCACTTCCCTCTTCATCTCCCTTTCGTGATGCGGATGACGCAAAGGGAAATTGTTCAATTAAAGTTGCAGCCCGGCGCAGCATATGCGAACGAATCGTGATTCTTCTCCTTCCCTTTAATTCCATGCTGCATGATGTGACGCATGCAAGAAAAGGTTGTGTCGTGCCATGATCTCGCATGGGGCCCTATCAAAGAGGGCGAAGATATTTATAAGACGATTTGGAATCACGATATTGAAGCATATGACTAGACTACAGACTACTGACTACTGATTGTAAGTGTGCAGTAAGAGTGCATTATCGCTGTCATTACCCGACAAACATGAGCTTGATCCCGTCCGATCTTCGTGCCTTTTCTCGGGCGTCTTTGGAATAGGTACCAAGAGCAGCTAGCTAGTCAGTCCGTACATCACCTTCCATCAATCATGACGAGAATGATACCGTACTATAATGCCGGTTACTTATTACGGAGATCGATGGTAATCATCCAGTAACTGTAACTATGGTCCCCTGATCTGAACCAAGCATCGATATAGGTAGTACAGTAGAGAGTCGGGATGTGAAGCAATCTTCCATGCCATACCGTACTACGAGATGTACGAGATGTACTTGTCGGTTAACCGGTACATGTACGCAGGTTGCTTTGCTGTCCACCCCGGCCGTTTGAACCGGGACTGCTGGCACGGAGATCCATGCCGTCCGTGTCCCAGACATCGGGACTCGGAGGTACGTAGTAAAACCGTCCAGCCACTCCTGGCGAAGGCTTACTGCTATGAGCGAGAGGAGCGGTGTGGACCGGAACCCTCCTTTGCCAGCGAAAGGAAAACTGGAGGCAGTGATTCAATATCTGTACTGTATTCCATGAATGGTTGAAAACACTGCACCAGGTACTGAGGGACCGACCGGTACGCTCCGCTTTTGCTGTCCTCCCTTCTCGTCAACTTGCATACAAAGGAAGGGCTAAGTACAGTAAGTACCTAAGTAAGTAAACAGACCGACTGAGACCAGTCATCCTGGCGAATGAATAAATGATGCAAGCAAGGGAGCAGCCGCTTCTGCAACGGATGCGCCGGGAATCTCCAAATTTCTTCTCATTTTCTCTGACAGCAACAGTCGCGTCTTTTCCCACTTCCGGTCTCGATCAAGCTTTGCAATCTCTATCTGCATCGAGGTTCTTGCTGACTGTTTTTTGCTTTGTTTCTTTCTGGAATGCGGTCTGCACCAGTCTTATTATTAGCTGTGCGCCGACCTACTGATATCCACAATTGCGAGGGGGGTTGAGTATCATTTAATTTTCATCAGTTTGATCAGACGCTTTGAACGAAGTCAATCTCTTTGGGATAGCGACGAACCTGCGCCCCTTGGATGGGGGCGACTCGAGATGCTGCGGTGGTGCATATGGTGACGTGACATGCCAACACTGGGGACTTTCCTTTTGCATATTCGCGCGTCATACTCAGTCTCTATCCACTCAATTTTACACGTGGTTGGTTCTGTTGTTCTGTATCTATAAATATCACTCACAGTGTTGCAGTTGAGCGAACTACAGGCCGCCGGTATCGAGCCTTCCACCACCAGTACCCTTCCACCACCAGTACCAATCTTGGAACGGGTCTTACCTCTACCGGATCATGAAAGAAAGACCTGACCCCCAGGTTCTGCAGGTGCTCCAGCCTGTTGACCTGGACCCGTGCCGAACAAAAGTATGATACTTAGCTCAGAGTTGGTACATATGGAATGGGGTTATACAGTATGTATTGTTTAAGTTTGAAGTTTATGTATGAAGGGCTACGCAAGCAGGACTTCCGATCCTGCATCTCAGTCAAACACGAGGAAGGTCGATCCGATTTGCATCTCGGTCGTGGCCCGGCTTAGAGCAGCAGTATGTTTATCTTCCAGGGCCCGCACTGCGACAGCGATGAGTTACTACCTCTCAAGGTACCATTATTGACTACCCGCTCGCTTATTCGGATTCGCAGAGCTCCGCTGGTCGCGATCCGCGTACTATGTTTCCTGATCTTCATTCAGCTGATCGGTACTCTTGGGCTTCATTTCACCTGTCAGTCAAAATCATTCCAGTATCGCTTAGGGCAGAAGGTGGTCCTCAATCATCCACGTGCCTATTTCACTTCTCGGTTAACAATTAGAAGAACGCTGATGCTTTCTCATATCATTGTTTGCAACCAGCTTTTAATTGTTTTGATTTGTTTATTCACTGACTCCTTCTTCAAAGTAAGACTCTGATGCTTTGTATCGATAGTGGGATTGTACATTGATAGCAATTATCTTCCTCGTGAGCTCTACAGCCAGGGATATTTCTTGAGCTAAGTCTACCGACCTCTAAATTCAAGTTTAGAAAGACATTGAAGTCACTATTACTACTTCGGTTCCTGTCACACCCAAGTATTGTATAGTATTAAGTACTGAGAAGAACTAGACATTCAGTTTGTGTTTTGACAGTCCTTTTCGGATGCTTGCTTGCTTGCCTTGCCCTCTTGTTTAATTGCTTGCTTGCCAGCCTGCTTGCTCTCTGCCAGTAGCCGTATTTTTTTTTGCGTTTTGTATGCTTAGAATTTCTTTCCTGGTCTTCCTTTTTCTTCATATACTTCTACTCGCTGCTCTGTGCCTCAAAATGGAAATATAGCAGACTCTGCTTTCCCAAGACTCCAAGCATCCCTAACTTCTTTCTACCTTTCGAGCATATTCAGTAGTATAAATATGTTTTGCAGTTATCCAAGGAATCCTAAATAGTCTACCTGCATCTTGCTACGGCTTGGCACTCAGTCTCCAGCCGCCAAATCCAACACATTACCTTCTTTCGACACAGCCCTTACAGCAGCTACTCCAAGTGAAGACCCTATGGTTTAAGAAAGACATTATGTCGAAACAGGATCCAGTTTTCACATGATTAAACTAGCCTAGTGTCTCGGCGCGCACACAAAAGATTATTCTTCCCTTTATTCTGCTGAAAATCTTCTCCTTCCCCAACACCCCCCACCTACTTCTCTCTTCCTCCACCACCCACCACCACCCACCTCCTACCTCATCAACTCCTTCTTCCCTCTCAAACTCCTATCACGCATAGATCAACATGAGCAGCATCAACAACAGGCGCTAGCCTCGAATGCTAGAGATCCGGTCGCTGACCTCCTGATGCTTGGGTGGCAGATCGAGGTTCTCCGGCAGCTTACGAGTTTCCCTTCCCTCAAGAGCTGTTTGGAGACAGCAGCGAGAGTCGATCAACTATCCGTCCTCGATCTGCCACTGAAGAGCAGAGCGCGATCATCCCTGCCAAGACATGAGGTGAGGGATGCGAATTGGCTCCGCCGTCACCACCGGCACCATGGTCTCCGGTCGAGGTAAGAGTTATATTTTCCTGACAGCCCCTTTACCTCGAGCGCCCCCACCGACGCAGAGACCTTTAACACTTGCTGTAGGTATACCACATAGAACGGAGGAGGCGGAGAAGCTCACGAGACTGAGGAAGAAATGGGATCAATGTATACCAGTCAGTGATCGCCAGCTGAAGAGATACACCAGAGCTGACCTGTGACGCAGATCCTTAAGAAAAGCAAACCCCCCCAAGCAAACGCCCCCCAAGAAAACGCCCCCCAAGCTCAATATGAAGATCTGTAAGTGTTCACCTCACTTGCTTCACTTCACCTTCTTTTCATCTGCTGATGGCCAGCCCGTCTAGCTACCCTTGAGAATTTCATCACACCCTTCGTCGCTGGTGGTACAGGGTCCATACCCCTGACGCTTCCCAGGAAGCACGAATATGTTGTAAGAATGGTGTCCTAGTATCTAAGTATCAACCGAGCCTGTGCTGATATCAACGCCAGCGACGTCTGTTCACTTCTCTTCTACAACCCAGATCGGCAAGAAATGGGGTGGTGACGCCGGCGGTACAGGCTCCATACCACTGACGCTTCCGGAGAAGCACGAATATGTGGTGACAAGTGCCGGGAGTGCTTTTTGGTAAGAGTGGCGGTCCTACTCTCTAACCGAGCCTGTGCTGATACATCAACGCCAGCGACGTCGGCTCGCTTCTCTTCTGCACCCCAGATCAGACCGCCAGCAGCGCGGCCGGCTCCGCGAGCCCCAGCGGTGGCTCCACCGAACACCCCCCCCATCCCCTCGCTTCTCTTCTACAAGCCAGATCAGCCGGGAGTGGGAGACTGGCAAAGGCAGATGCCAAATAACCCGGAGTGCGCGCTCCCGCCATCGGGCACAGGGTAAGAATCCCAGCCGATCTGGCTGCGGGGGCCAGCGCCGCCCGGGACCGGGCAACATCAAATTGAAAGGGGTACCCCTCGTGGGACCCGGTGGAAGCGGTGGGACTCGAACTCCCCAGTCCGCTTGCTTCTCTTCTACATGGCGTTGATCTACATCGCCAGACCATCCCAGCCCCGCAACCCGCGCTGCGGGGGAGGAGAGGGCCACGGGTCTAGAGTGGGCCAGATCTGCCCCGCTTCCGCTCTCCTCTCCCCTCTCCCCGCCGCCCATGGCTCCTGCACAGGACTCTCCCCTCCCAAGCGGAGCGGACATTCTTTCACCGCGTATGGAGGGGAGGTGCGACCTCGACCTCTGTGGTGCGGGGGCACTGTGAAGGGCGGCATCCACATTCTCGTATCTACGTCTACGTTCCTCACGGTGCTCCGGAGCAGTTTCGTCACCTACTGCGGGGGCTGGGGGTCGCAAGTGAGAGCGGCCCGAGGTCCGGCTCGATGTATGTTTGCTGCCGGAGAAGATCCGTCTGGAGGTGCGCATGCTCCCAGACGGGTTCTTCTCTGGATGCACATACAGTATGCATGCATGCTACCGGAGAAAATCACCCCAGAGTACATTCTGTTTGTAGATGGATTCAGTGTAGATAGAGTCGGTGTAGATAGATTTAGTGTGGATTGATTTAGTGTGGATTGATGTAACGATTATCTCATGTACTTGCCCTTACTTTACTTTTACTTGCGCAATGGCAACCGGGACCTGACGCCGCCTCTGAGAAGCCAGGACTCTAACAGCCACATCCACCGGTTCTTGAGGGTAAAGGGTACTTCTCATCCATCATCTTTCAGATCAACGCACAACTCAACTTGGCGAAATCAGATGGCAGAAACCACCTTGGCATTGATATTAGCTAGCATTAGCATGAACATGAACATGAACATGAACATGAACATTAACATTAACATTAACATTGACATCTCTCTATCCTCATCCCTAATCCCGCATCCCCCATCCCGCATCCCTCATCCCTCCCTATCAGCGCTCCCCCTCCCCGGCGCCCCCTCAAACCTCTCCTTCCACACCTCCTCCTGCTTGAACAGAGTCACAGCCTCCATCGCACTCGGCAAGCCGTGATCGGGATCTGCCCCTCCCTTCAGCAAGGCCTACGCTCATGCGTCAATCAGCATTGGCACCCGCGGCGACAAATATACAGGGAGGAGAAAGAGAGAGAGAGAATGTGTGTACGATGAGGAAATAGAGAAGAGCAAGAAGAACAACAAGAAGAGCAAGAAGAACACCCAGAAGGGAAAAGACACGGGCACGAGAGAAACACACCTCGATAACCTCCGGCTCGCCTTTGAAAACAGCGCCCGCCAGCGGCGACTGGCCCCGGTCGTTGACCCTGTTCGGGTCCGCGCCGTGCTGGAGCAGGAGGCGGACGAGCGCGGCGTGGCCGTGGTAGGCTGCGAGCATGATCTTTTTTTTTTTTTTCATCACCGCACCGTTAGTGTCCGGATGGGAAAGGCTGCATGGCTATGGGGGAAGAGGAAGGAAAAAGAGAGGAAGGAAAAAGAGAGGGAGAAAAAAAAAAAAGCAAAAATAAGGGGGGGGGGAAAAAGGCGAACAGTGTCTCCTGCTGTCTATGCAGAGAGGGTTGGGGAGATTTATTTAGATGTGGATGTGGATGGGAGTGCTTACGAGACTATCCCCCTTCTCATTCGTCATGTTAGCTGGGAGGCCAGCGGGTAGTGCTTGCTGGAAGATGGCCATCTGCCCTGATCGAGCGGCGTCGTAGAATCGCGTTGCGAGGGCGATGGCTTCGGGTGGGAGGCCGTCTGCTGCTGCTGCTGCTGCTGCTGTTGTTGTTGTTGTTGTTGTGGAAGCCATCCTTTGTCTCGGCTATCTATTATCTCGGTTCTGTTCAAGTAGAGCAATTCGCAGTTTCCCGATTTCCCAACTCTCCCAGATTTTCTGTTGTCGTCTGAAATTGGAGTGGTGTCTACGAACCATTGTTGACTCGTGGTTTTCCCGGTCGTTTGACGTTTGTACCGGTGGTTTTCTTGATCTCCGCCAAGACTTTCGTCATAGCCTCGGCTCAGCCCGGAGTGCATAATCTGGGGTTGCCGATCGAAGGCGCGAAAAGAGAAGTCTATTACATCCAGGGCACATTCATTGAGGTTGCGATTGTACACCACACCTCTCGCCATGCGCATCTTCCGACCTGCAACTTCGCTGCCCAAGCTCGTCCGATGCTACTCAACGCAACCGACGCCGTTGGTGAGGGTCCTGGATGTGCCGGCGCCGGGTAGTGGAAGGATACGGATCTTGTCTCTGGTGAGTAAGCCTCGCAGCTCTCCGCCCTCCTCGCCCATTCATCCTGTGACAGCTTCTGCGACTGGACAAACTGTTCCCCAGGATCCGACGTGCGAGAACAGAACGGTAGATGCAAGGCTGATTGGCAACGCAGGCCCGCCCTGCAGCCCGCAACGCCATCTCGCGGCAGCTTCTCCAGGAGCTCCGCACGAACATCGACTTCGTAGCGTCCGAATACGACAGCAATGGCGATGAGGTGCCCGCGAAGAAGATCTTTGGCGGTGCGGCGGGTGCAGATCAGAAGGGACCCACGAGGGCAGTGGTGCTTGCTAGTGACGTGGATAGCAGTTTCTGCGCAGGCGCGGATCTGAAGGAGAGAGCGGGCTTTACTGCTGAGGAGTAGGTCCTTCACCGGGAGAACACGGTTCGAGGACTGCATGATCGATCGTACTTGGGACATGTCGAGATATATTGGGGCACCAGATATGCATTGTCGAACTAGCTAACATCCAGCAGAACAGCAGCCTTCCTCGCCAATCTTCGCAACACATTTACAGCGCTCTCCACCCTCCCTGTCCCAACCATCAGCGCAATCAGCTCTCTCGCCCTCGGTGGCGGCCTCGAACTCGCTCTCTGCACACACATGCGCGTCCTGGCATCCACCGCCCAGGTAGGCCTCCCGGAGACCCGGCTGGGGATAATCCCCGGCGCAGGCGGTACCTACCGCCTCCCGGCCATCATTGGCCTTAGCCGCGCCCGCGACATGATCTTGACCGGACGGCGAGTCAGCGCCGCAGAAGCCTACTTTCTGGGGATCGCGGATCGGCTGGTGGAGGTGCGGCCGGAGGAGGGGAAGGAGGGAGAGGAGCACAGGGCGGAACTGATGGCTAAGGCGAAGGATGTGGTGTTGAGCGTTGCTGTGCGCTTGGCGGGGGAGATATGCGCGGGGGGGCCAGTGGCGGTTCGAGGTGCATTGAAGGCGGTCGGGTATGCGCGGGAGGAGGTGGAGAATGAGATGTACGAAAGGGTTGTCGGGACGGAGGATAGGAACGAGGCGCTGGTGGCCTTCAGGGAGAAGAGGACGCCTGTGTTTAAGGGGAGATGAAGTTGTAAGTAAGATATTCTGTGTTGTGATACCTGCCTATGGATTCCGGCCTGCAGGCTGTATACTGACAGACGTGTGCAATGTCTATGCCATCGTGCTCTTCACAAGCAGATGTCTATAGTAGGTATAGTATTTACGAGATCCGGTCAGTATCCTCCTCATAGCAAGACTCGACCCACACCGACCCGAAAGCACAGGCCATACAAGGATTTACAAATTTAGCCCTGTTCGTTGTGTGCTTCTTTCTATAAGCTTCGGATACAAGCTTTGCCACTGGCCTCGCTCCACTTTTTACCCTGTTTCTCAAGTCCAGTCCACAGTTCCCTCGCGTGCTTTCCCCACACAAACGCAGTGACGTCAACCGCAGAGGAGCTCCCCTCCCCCAGGGGACTAGCTGCAAAGTAGCTCACTCAGCTCATGAACAAACGCGTCCCCTCGACCTTCTCGTCTCTTCTTCACCTCTCACCTCCCACCCATTCATCTCTCTCTCTGTCTCCAGATCCAGATCCAGATCCAGATCCAGATCCACATCAAAACAAATCAAATCAAATCCTCCCAACGCACTCAGCTACAACTTCTTCAAAAACACCCAGCTCAAATCAAATCCAACCCTCCCAAAACATAAACCATCAATCACCATGTCCTTCCTCATGCGCACCTCCGTCCGCAGCGCCGCCAGCGCGCGCTCCGTCGCCTCCCGCCCTGCTTTCTTCTCGACCTCGCTCGCTGCACGCAAGAGCGCCGCCGAGACGGTCAAGGACAGCGTTAAGACTGTCGATCGCAAGGTGTCGGATGTGCTTGTGGGTGGGATTGAGGCTGGTGGTGGGTTTTTTTTCTTTTTGCTTCCTCCTCCTCCTCCTCTTCTTCTTCTTCTTCCTCCTCCTCTTCTTTTCTTCTCTTCTCTCTACCATCATGATCATCATCATAGAATCTGCAGAGTTTAGTCTTCGTTTGAGGGATATGTGCTGATTTGAATGTCTTGTAGAGAATGCAGCAGGCAAGGTCAAGGAAGTCTCGGGCATGTCGGCTGGTGAGGTTAAGGGCAAGGCGAGTGAGGTAGCCGGTCAGGTTTCTGGCAAGGCCCAGGAAGTCGCGGGAATGTCGACCGGTGAGGTTAAGGGCAAGGCGAGTGAGGTAGCCGGCCAGGTGTCAGGCAAGGCCCAGGAAGTCGCGGGCATGTCGACCGGTGAGGTTAAGGGCAAGGCTTCTGAGTTGGCGGGCCAGGCGAAGGGAAAGGCGAATGAGGTCGCTGGCGAGGCCAAGGGAAAGGCGAATGAAGTGAAGGGGAAGATGTAAGAGCTTGCAGTGGTATAATGACGAATTATAAAGGACCGATGGATGGGAAGCAGAGGGAAGCAGAGGGAAGCAGAGGGAGGAAGGAGGAGTGTACGATAGATACCTAATATGATGCCACGGCTTGCTTTCTCCCTGCAGAACACATAATGCACCCTATAAACTTCGGAATCGGGAGGTGGTAAGTAAATATTTGCCCGAAGCTGGTTAGTACTTATGAAAGTCTTTCTCTACTCAACCTGACAATCATATCTGCACTCAGCCTCCTTCATCCTCATCCTAGCAGGCGCTTCCCCATTCCTTTGACAATAGATCTATCCCATCTCCACCATCCTCACTCTCATCACCCCAATCTCCCATCATCTATCTCTATCTAGCCTCACCGTCTCCACCCCCACCACCACCCTACCCTACCCTACCCTACCCTACCCTACCCTACCCCATCCCAATCAGCCATGAGGATAGGTCCCGTAGTCTCTTCGCTCACACGATTCCCGACCCTAGATTCATTCATGTACCTATCGGGACCGAGGTGTGGGGGGGGGGGGGCCTATTCGGAGTAATAGGTTTGTAGAAGGTTGGAGGGAGAGGTTAGCGCGTGGGAGTGGAAGGGTTGGGGGTTGGGGAGTGGGGGTTGGTTGATTGTAGAGGGAGCGGGGGTGGAAGGGGTGGAAAGGGCTCTTCATAACAATCACGAACTCGATATACGTCCATACATCCATATACATATACATATACATATACATATACATATACATATACATATACATATACATATACATATACATATACATATAAATAAATCATACTCCTCCTCCTCCTCCTTCCTCCTACATCCTAATCCGCGCTAGTCTACCTACCTACCTACCTACCTACCTAATCCACGATCAACCGACCGCACGTTCTTCTCCCGTCTTATCCCTTCATCCTTCCCCTTATAAATTTCATCTCCCTCTCCTGCCTCCCTCCCCTCCCCTCACCAAAGAAATATCCCTAAACCCGCGAACTACAGCGACACGAGCCCAGACCAAGATGCCACTGTGGACTACACTCTGCACTGCGCGACGGGAGACGCGTATCCGGTCTGCGGCATCGTCTGTACAGTAAGTAGATCGCTTTGCATGGCGAGAGTTTTTTTTCTTCTTCTTCTTCCGTGTTGCGGCTGGATCGGCACCGGTGCGTACGGAGGCCGGGATGGGATGGGAAGGGGAAGAGAGGGTGGGTGGGTGTGGTATATACGGTACGGGGCTTTAGGATGGCTTGTTTGGGGAGTCTGTTTCGATTTTTTTTTTTCTTTTTTTCTTTTTTCTTCTTGGAGATGGGCTTCTTCTTCTTCTTCTTCTTCTTCTTCTTCTTCTTCTTCTTCTTCTTCTTCTTCTTCTTCTTCTTCTTCTTCTTCTTC